CAATAAAATATTCCACCAAATCCCTGCCTAAATATTCCTCTGCCGTAACAAAAGAAATCATGTTGTTCTCGGTTGTGATTTTAGCAAAACTGAATTTTTCTTCCCCTTCAGGAATAGCAGAATATATCAAGAAAATGCAGAAACAAAAACCCATTCAGGCTGCTGCATCTATTTGATTTAAGCTATTATTGATGCTATTGAAAGAGCTTAACTTCAGTAAAAATATTATTCTAGCCAAATACTTGAAATAAAAGCAATGTGATATGGTTTTTTGTCATATAGAAATTTAATCAGTATTTATTAGGTTACAGATGTTACAGAATAGAAAAACTATGCTAGTCTTTATTCTTCATGGGATGGGATGGGATAAATCTTAAAATGATATTGTACAAATAATGAAGAATCTCATCCCTCTTTTAGTAATCTGCAAATGTGCGATACATCAAGCAATTCCAGAGAGAACCCAGCCATGTTAAGGACATTTTTAAAACTACCCCTCTCCCAAAAAACAAACAAAAAACCCCTGCCACCCAGTGAATCCTGCATTAGCAGAAGCTGACTAGTGTTTCTGAATAACTCTTTAATTGCTAAAAGATAGACTAGTGGCATAAGGCAGAGATCTTGCATAAGTGATCAACTTGGAAATATTTAGAGAGAAAGTGGAAATTTTTATAGGGCACCTAATTTGGAGCATGTTACAATGTCAACTATGGCATTTTAATGTGTTTTTAATTTAGTTGAGCTGCAAATGTGCAGAGTTGGCTGATGATCATAAGCCCAAGTTGTCTGATTTGATCATATGATGCTGAGCCCTGCTAAGACCTGTGTGACACCAAATGATTCCCTTGGCAGTGTTTGTTGGAGTAGTTAGCATCAGCAATGAATGAATGCTGAATTGGGAGAGAGAGAATGTAACTGCATGATCAGAGGATATACAGATTTTAACACATGTGCAGTATAGAAGAGCAGGTTTTCAAAGCTGCAGTTTTCTAACTGGTGAGGTTATTTCTGAAAAACAAATGTATTTTAAATAGCAAATCAGACCAAGAGTGGGAAGTCAGAGGGAAGGCCAAGTCCTCCAATATTGATCCTGTTGTGGGAGATCCAGAGAAGACAGATTTTCTTGAGAACCTTCTAGTAGTTGTTTTCACAAGAATTTGTTGCTGGTGCTTAAAGTGAAAGGTCTGGATTGGTGGAGGTAGTGTTATTCCTAGCATCTCTTGGTGAATCAGAGCTGTGAAGCTTATTCTGCTTAGCGTTGACCCAAAGATTCTATGGGGAACTGGATAAATTCATTTTAGTATAAAGACCTTGACACTAACAGGATCTAGTGGAAAAAATAGGCCTCTAGGAGTTAGGAAACCTGTGCAGCCACCTTGGGTGCCTTACTAGCTCTTCCTCTGTTGAGGACCCGTGAAATTATCTACTGCAGAAGGCTATTTTTAAAAATCTTCCTTAGAAACACTTTGAAGCTCTGAAAAAGCACTTAAGATGTATTGTAACTGTTAATAGTGCCATTAAGTCAGTTATAGCCCAGTCTTTATTTTGCTGTGGTATTATATTTCAGGGTTTAGTCTGAATTTAATTTTGTAGCCACAGAAAATAGTCTGTAGTTTAATTTAGTCCCTTGGGATTCCTTTCCTTTTTTTTTTTTTTAGTTGGTCCAGGTAAACCCAATTAATGCTAATTCTTCCTTTCTTGCTATTGATGTGTTTCAGTAGGTACAGTTGTAGCCTCACTTGTTTATCAAATGAATTGACCCCAGCAGTGAGTGGAGTGACAGATGCCAACACCAGATTGCCTTCAATTCCAGTGTTAACCAGCTCTTCTTTTCCAGTACCGTGCCTTTGACATCTCATCTTTCAGTCCCTTTGCTGTAAGGGCAACTTGAACAAGCTTCAGCCCTTTATTAGACTCCTAGGGCAGGACTTGAATGTATTTGACCCTGGAATTGTTCCTGATGAGCCTTGTTCAGTTCTTGCTGCTGCCATGCTGTATTCCAAAGATCCACTCCTTCCTCGGCTGGTCTCGCAGGGTCAGGCCCATTGGTTAAAGCTTGTTATGGATTTGGTGGGGAGGTTCAAAATGAACGAGGGACTCCACTTTGGGCACTGGACCTGGAGGCAAAAAATAAGCATTCAGTCTAAAAGCACTAAGTGCCTATTGTTTAGGCAGCTGTTAATCAGCCATGTTTCTATGAAAATAAGTCCTATTCATGAGGCAGTTGTGTGGGAATAGCTAATTCTGGCCTGATGCTGTGCAGTGTGAGGTTAAAAACATGGTAACTTGTCACAACACAATTCTTCTTGTTCTTTTTTCTGTGGGCTGACTCCACATTACTTGCTTTGTTTGCTCTAGAATGGAATCTACTCACCATTTACTAAAATGAAATGTGTTTCTTGGGGGAGGCAAAGTCCAGTTCACTAGGTCTTGCATCTTGAAGAGAAAGGAGCCCTGCTCCCTGTATGACTAATTGTTAGGAATGTCATTTAGCTTATTTAATTCCAAATTTCTGTTCTGGGGTTGAATTTTATATGCTGGGGCTCCTTTGTGTTTTAGTTTTTAAAAGTTCATATTTATTTTTCATGCCTTATTCCCAGAAGTACATATTAATTTTTAAAGTATTTAGCAATAGCTGGAAATGAGCATTAGAAAGTTTAGCACAGTAGAAAGTATACAGGCTTCGGAATCTGATAAGTGTGGGTCTCATCCTGACCTCAGGCAAGTTATTTAACCTCCAGACTTTAATTTCCTCTCTTGAAAAATGGGAATAATGAAACTCACCTGACTAATTGTTTAGAGAGGATAATATATGGAAGGTATCTGGCCTCAGTTATTATTAATCATCTTCAAGAGAAATAATTCTTTGCATTTTTACTAGAAGCCAATGCTGAACTCACCTCCTTGGGAGTAGTGTTTCAGGAAAGAAGGGGTACCTTTCAGTAGCTCTATAGATTGTTTCCCTTTTGACTAACAAGCTTTATACTGCTGACACAATGTCTATCCAAGTCACTAGGTGCCTTTGGTTTTTCTGAAGGATTTGTTTATTCTTAGCCACTAGCTGACTAAAGAGGAAGTTAGATCTTCTAAGATACAGTTTGGGCCTAAGGTCTACTTTGGAATTTACTATGACGGTTTTCACAGCAGTTTAACTCAACTTCTGTTAAATCCAGTTTGGGGGAAGCCCTTTCTTCAAATCTCTTGACATGTCTGCTCTTAAAGGATAAGCGCCTCATAGTTTTTATGGTTCCTTGCTTAATTTAGAGTTACAGGATTGTATGCACGTACAGGAAGACTTCAGTTGGTCCTTTAAGTCTTGCAGGGGATTCTTCTTGAGAACTTTTAACAGCAGATGGTCTCTTTACAGCATTGTGACAGTTGGTATAATAAAATTACTCAAGCACATTTACATCCATCACAGTTCAAATCTTTCAACATTTATAGGTCATTTCCATTTTCCTTCTCATTTTTTCTAGCAGCCTTTTCATGTTAGTAGGACTTGCCAGGACAGTGATAGGGAAGAATGGAAAGGAAGGATTGCCTCAATAAAAGGAGGGCAGCTTTGCCAATTTATAGTTTAAAATACACAAGTAAATAAATCACAAATCTCTGTAATGCCAACGTCCCTAGAATCAAGCTGCCGTAAACTCCCATATCGTTGCCAAGGTTAAGAACCACGACTTTTGTCTCTACTTCAGGCAACCTTGAACTAGGTTCTTTTGTGTGTATATATAGGACAGGAAAAGAAACAATGATTCTTCTTTATAACAAAAATACTCAGATATTTAGTTATGTTGCAGTAATTATTTCAATAAAGAATTAGCTTAATCATGCAGGTTGGGCAGTAGGATGATTTTGGCTATCTTTGATAGAGGTTGCTAGTTCTCTTTAAACACTGCTGGTCATGTCTGATTTGATTCTAGTTACTTGTCAGGAATATACTTCCTAATTATATAACATCGCTCCTTTAGGAAAGTACAATTTGTCTAGTGGCACAATTTCCAAAAAATAGATCTTGGGAGGGCCGGCCCGTGGCTCACTCGGGAGAGTGTGGTGCTGATAACACCAAGGCCACGGGTTCGGATCCCATATAGGGACGGCCGGTTAGCTCACTTGGGAGAACGTGGTGCTGACAACACCAAGTCAAGGGTTAAGATCCCCTTACTGGTCATTTTTTAAATTTAAAAAAAAAAAAAAAGATCTTGGGGTAGGGGAAAAAATTCTAATATAACCTGCTTGCTGAATATACAAGGTGCTGGAGGGATGGTAAAGGGGGCAATAAGTAGCCACATAGAATTGATGGATGGGCAGAGAGAACACCAGTAGATGGTTACCCCTTACCGCATGGCACTGGCAGCCTGTACTTCATATTACGCTGTCATCCAGTCTCTGCTGTCACTCCACTCTGTCCTCCATCCTAGGCACCAATGTACCGTGCTTTTAACTCCTTTGCCACCTGCTTTTGCTCTGCTTGTCCTTCCAGCGACAAATGCATGAACCACTTTTCAGGAGACTAAATCACTAAAATTCTTATAAGAATGTGAGCCATTTCACATTGAGAAATCACTTGCCCCTGAATGGAATTACCCATAGCTCATTTACCTGTAAGTCTGCAGAAGCAGCAGCAGTTGTGACACAGTGGAAATGAAATAGGTATGAAAATTCAGTTGCTGTGAGGGACTGTCTCAATTTGCCTGTCCTATGAGAAGATGACTACAGGCAGGAATAGCGAAATTAGGCAGGCAAAATGAGAGAGGTTTCTTTATTTAGTTTGAATGTATCTAAGAGACAAAAAATAGCATCTGAAGAACTTGGATTCTTTCCTTAGCACCTCCTTTTGGTCCATCACCCTATTGAACAAATGTATAAATTCCTTTAAGTATCACACTAACTTTCAGCTCATTGTGCTAGGGGCTCTAAACCAAAGATAGCTGCCATGAGATTACAGAGGTTATTCCCAAGCATAGTAACATGCTTCTCTCTCTCTCTTTTCTTTTCAGGGAAGCAGAGTCTTTCAAGGAACAAGGAAATGCATACTATGCCAAGAAAGATTACAATGAAGCTTATAACTATTATACAAAAGCCATAGGTAAGAAGACCTGGTACTTACACTAGAAAATACTCATTTGCCAAATACAGCAAATCCTTGAACAACAGGGTGTTTGAACATGGGTCCACTCACACATGGATTTTTTTTCAATAAGTATATTGGAAAATTTTTGGCAAATTATGTCATGAATACCTGACATCCCTAACCAAATAGTTAAGTAGACACGTAACAGTAGGCTATTAGCAGTTAAGTACTTAACTCCTTAGTCACCACTTAAGTAAAAGGGCTCAGGGCATGCGTGCAGTGCAGTGCAGCTGAGACTCGGGAAAGGACACAACATACCTAAGTAGCAAAGTAGTTAAGTTTTGGGGGAGTCAAAAGTTAAAAGCAAGGGCCGACCCCGTGGCGCACTCAGGAGAGTGTGGCGCTGGGAGCGCAGCGACGCTCCCGCGGCGGCTTCGGATCCTATATAGGACTGGCCGGTGCGCTCACTGGCTGAGCGCGGTGCGGGCAAGACCAAGCCAAGGGTTGCGATCCCCTTGCCGGTCACGAAAAAGACAAAAAAAAAAGTTAAAAGCAGATTTTCAACTGTGCAGGAGGTTGGCACCCCAATCCCCATATTATTCAAGTGTCAGTAGCTCTTCTCGGGACTGGCCAGTTAGTTCAGTTGTAGAGTGTGGTGTTATAACACCAGGGTCAAGGGTTCGGATCCCAGTACCCGCCAACCACCAGAAAAAAATAAAAATAAAAATAAAAGTAAATGAATAAAACTCTTCTCTAAGAAATAGCCTTTTGCTTAGTGGATTGATAATTCATTTCTGTGTGAACTCCTTCAGGCTCAATGATCTTATAAGGGATAACTTTTCTAGCTGGAGTGGGCAATTCTTTTGGCAAATTAAAAGCAAGCAATTCCAGAAATACTAAACGTTATGGTAAAAAGGGTGAAAAGATACCCATCTAAATATATCTCAGTCATTACCAATTCATTTACTATCTTAGAAAATGGCCTTTGTAGATAAAATCAAGTCTTAGTTATCTCCGTGCTTAGTTCGCCAGCATATTTTAATTCCTTGTCAGCATCCTTCTCACCTAACTTGCTTAGTCTCCCCACCCCAACTCAACAAACGTAAATTCATTTTAATATCTCATACAAACCATAGTTTATTGAGATGATAAATAGCCTGCCCCTCCCCCCTAAAAGATAATCAGTGCACTTTAAAGCCATAACTTATTTTCCTTTAAAATTGTTTGTACCATTGCTGCTGTTCATTTGCACAGGTAGTCAGAAATTTGGCTGTGGTCTTCTAAAGAGAGTGTGTTAATATTCTTATAGTGTTATTCCCTTGACGTAGTTCTGAGGGAAATGGGAGATGCCCCATAAGTTTTCAAAGAAGTGATCTGTTCTTTATTTTACATTCTTCTATCTCTTCTGTAGATATGTGTCCTAAAAATGCTAGCTATTATGGTAATCGAGCTGCCACACTGATGATGCTTGGAAGGTTCCGGGAAGCTCTTGGAGATGCACAGCAGTCAGTGAGGTTGGATGACACTTTTGTTCGGGTATGTAATGGGGCCTTTTGGGGAAGGCTTAGTTGCTACAGTTGAGTTCCTCTAGCCCAGGGTTTCTCAATCTTGACACTATTGATATTTTGGGCCAGATAATTCTTTGTCGTGGGAGGGCTATCCTGCACATCGTAGAAGGGTTAGCAGCTTTTCTGACCTTTAACCACTACGTATCAGTAGCAACCCCTCTCTCCACTTGTGACAACCAAAAATGTCTCCTAACATTGCTAAATGTTCCCTGGAGGGCAAATTGCCCTGGTTGAGAACCACTGTTCTAGCCGTTTCATCCCCTGTTGGTTTCATGTGAGTGTTTATTGCTGCTGTTGATTTCTTTCTGCTTGACCAGTCATGCTTTTCTCTCCTTACGTTTCTTCTAGGGACATCTACGAGAAGGCAAGTGCCACCTCTCTCTAGGGAATGCCATGGCAGCATGTCGCAGTTTCCAGAGAGCCCTAGAACTGGATCACAAAAATGCTCAGGCACAACAGGAGGTATGGGTCTGATCCTGTTTGTATCAAAAGAGGCAGTGTGGTATATTTGGTAGGAATAATGATTTGAAAGTCAGAACTGAGATCTAGTCCCACTTCTGTCATCAACCACACCTGGGTGACTTTTAAAAAAATCTATGAAAATTGGAGGGTTTCTGAGATGGCAAGGAAAAGAGGCAGATGCTTCAGGGAACTGATTTGAGTGAGTTTGAAGAATTTAGGGGGGATGGCTGGTTAACTGAGTTGGCTAGAGTGCAGTGTTATAACACCAGAGTCAAGAGTTTGGATCCCCATACCAGCCAGCAACCAAAAAAAAATTTAAGTGAATTCAAATCATTACCAAATTGGTAGCAACTAAAACATAATTTGGTTCCATCTGCCCATATATGCAATTTGCCACTGGATATGTTGTAAGATTCTCAAAACTTCTGCTCAGTCCCTGGCAATGCATTGCCTTTATTTTATGTATTTCAAGGTATGACTCTTGTGTTTCTAACTTGAAGTTCAAACTGAGAGTGAAGTTTGGGTCTTAGCCTTTCTGTTAAGGAGTCTTGGCTTCATCTTCATCAGTTTGATTTGTGAAAAGTCTGTTGTTGTGATTTTCTTGAAATAACAAATTAATCAAGGCCTTGTTGATTTTTGTGATTATTGAATCTACAACTTCATGAAAATTTTTCCATGTCTGGTTTTCCGGTATAGTTCAAGAATGCTAATGCAGTAATGGAGTATGAGAAAATAGCAGAAATGGATTTTGAGAAGCGGGATTTTCGGAAGGTAAAGTACAATATGAGAACATTTCATCTACCTTTTCTTACAAAGTGCCTATATGTGTGTACGTGCATGATAATTAAGAGGAGTAGTATGGTGCAAAATATCTAGAACAGTAAATTATCATTTAAATTGGGTTTTTGACATTTTCTTTTCTTTTTTTTTTTTTCCTTTTTGTCTTTTTTACTGACTGGTAACGGGATCGCAACCCTCGGTGTTGCGCCCACACCGCGCTCAGCCAGTGAGTGGGAACCTGTCTCCACATGGGATCCGAACCCTCGGCGGGAGTGCCGCCGCGCTCCCAAGCAGCGCACTCTCCAGTGCGCCACCGGGCCAGCCCGACCTTTTATTTTCTTTCTTTTTTTTTTTTTTTTTTTTGACTGGTAAGGGGATTGCAACCCTTGGCTCAGTGTCGTCCGCACCATGCTAAGCCAGTGAGCGCACCGGCTATCCCTATATGGGATCCAAACCCGTGGCCTCAGTGCTATCAGCACCACACTCTCCTGAGTGAGCCACGTGGCCAGCCCTTATTTTTTTTATCTCTTACAAGTTTTTAATTTTTTGTTAAGGTACTTACTTTCTTAGTTACATTTAGCTTTATAATAAATAGCAGAATGAGTTTGTTACTTGAGTTTGTGTTGTTGATGCAAGGTAGAGGCCTAAAAGTGTGCTGATTAATAGAGGAAAAGCCACTTAGAATTGAATACTGGGTTTGGATAATCCGTTTTTATTTGAATAATGAGAGCTGGCTTTAACTCCTGTTTTATGTGAACTGAGAGCAATAAGTCAAAAATAGAAGCCCATTTTACATTTTTGAATAATTGGTCATCACCACCTTTTTGACATTAGACTGTCCTTAGATATTAGACTGTATGATATTTCTTGAAAATGTATATGTCAAATGGGTTGACAAATCTGAAACATGGGAAAGGTATAAAAGTTCTAGATATCTTTCTAGCTCTTGTAGTTGTTATGCCTGATCCGTATAATTCCTAACTCCCTTCCTTAGACGGTACTTTGAAATAGTTTACACTAGAGTTTCAAAAGGGGAGGTGGATGGCCCCCCAAAAGGTTAAATACCACTGATCAGGAGAGATTTTCAGGATTACTTGAAATAAATTCACGAGTACTATCCAGGGAAGGGAGTTGTTGCTTCACATGTGGGAATTTGCTTGGTATTTGCTGTAGCAGGTACTTAATAAATGTTAATAATTAAGAAACATTCTCAACTCAAACGCTGTGAATGTCTTTTATCTTGATAAAAGGATATAATTAAGAAACATTCTCAACTCAAACGCTGTGAATGTCTTTTATCTGGTAGCAAATATATCTGATTAGCTTATGCGGAGTCCTAGCATTAACTTATTAGCATCACTCTTCTGTCCATTGGTTTTAATAACCACAGTGTCTTTGTAGTGTGATTCATAAGTTTGTTTTGTTTGGTTTTTGTGTGTGCGTTTGGAAAGCAATTCTGCCTATTGTCACCTTTTCTGAGGTTTACATAGTCAAAAGCTTTGTCTCAAAAGGCGGTCTTTTGGATTTCTTTTCTCTCTTACCCACTCTGGAGGCAGAATCCTGAGTTTGTGACAGAATCCTCTGTTTGTAACATATCCCCCCCCCCCCGTAGCTCATGGTGATGTCACAAATGAAGAATTATGATCCTGGCAAGGGAAACAGATGAACTTCGAAGAAACAAAGATCTTCTTTGCCTGCAGCTGTCCCTAATCATGGGGAGATGGGGGGTGGGAAGTGAAGCACTGAGCCTTCTAACTGATGCGCGCCACAACAAGCAGAAGTAGCTCTGCACAGAAACGTCCTTGTGAAGGCAACAGGGCGTGGCTGCTGAAGTCATGACTGGTTTCTCACCCCCCTCATTCTTTTTCCATTTGAGGAAAAAAAGTTTAGCACTACAACTCTACCTACATAATAGCTAAGTCTGCACATTGTCTTTAGGACTTCCAGGATAGTAACCCATGCTATTGAAGGAGAGGCACTCCTGTCACTGCTATGTTGACAGCACAGAAAGTCTCAGTGGGATAGTTCATGGTGTTAAACCACTTGCGCATATCTTTTTTTATGTGGGTATTACAAAAAGTTCATGGAAAAATAGAATTGAAAGATAATATGAATCTTTCCATGAACTTTTTGAAGAATTTAGGGGGGATGGCTGGTTAACTGAGTTGGCTAGAGTGCAGTGTTATAACACCAGAGTCACATGTATTTATTTTTAATTGACACATCATAATTATACATATTTATGGGGAAGTGTGATGTGTACTTGTATACATTGTGTAATGATCAAATCATGGTAATTAGCACACTCATCACCTTCTTTGTTGTGAGAACATTCAAAATCCTCTCCTAGCTATTTGAAATGTATAATTCATGATTGTTAGCTATAGTCCATATTTTTTAATTTCAATTTTTTTTTTTTTTTTTATTCCTTTTTGTCTTTTTACTGACCGGTAACGGGATCGCAACCCTCGGTGTCGCGCCTGTACCAGGGACCAGCAACGGGATCGCAACCCTTGGTGTTGCGCCCACACCGTGCTCAGCCAGTGAGCGGGAACCAGTCTCCACATGGGATCTGAACCCTCGGCGGGAGTGCCGCCGTGCTCCCAAGCGGCGCGCTCTCCAGTGCGCCACCCGGCCGGCCCATTAATTTCAATTTTTGAATAGGTGCTGTTCATGGTTCAAAAGCTAGAAAGTATGAAAAAATATTCAGTGATGAGTATCCCCTCAAACTTGTCCTCTGTCTACCCAGTTCTCACCCCCACTAAGGTAACCACTGTTCTGTGTCTTCTATTTCCTTCTATAGTTTTGTAGAAATATGTAGAATCTATAAAGTATAGATTCTTAATTTTCCTCTTTTTTAGCATGAAAGATAGGATTCAGTGCACAGTTCTGCACTCCTTTTTTTGCTGACCAGATCTTGGAAATCTTTCCCTATCAGTACATGGAGAGCTTCTTCATTCTGTTTTATAACTACATGTTATTCCTTATATGAATGTCTGTTATTTAACCAGTCTTCTGTTGATGTACTTTGAGTTATTTCTGCTTGTAAGTTCTTAGACTTTACCTCTTCCTGATCCCCATGGCCAGATTCTTAGAAGGAATGGATGTCCCGTAACTCCAGATTTGTCCTTTGAGTTAATTATTCTTGAGAAAGTTATGATTCAGCAAGGATCTCCCAGGAATAGCGGCTAAACCAAAAATGAAAGCTTAGAGAACAAACTTCTGAAAAGAGAAAAGAGAGGTATGTGGAGACCCCCTAGGAGGCTGAAAGAGGGAACTAATCTCAACCTTGTTATGTGCGTGTGAGATACTTACTAATGGTTTGTATAGCAGCATGCTAGGAATAATAATCTGATGTAGTTTATATAGAACCGTTTAAAATGGTATATTTCTGTATTAAAAATATAGGTGGATGGGGCCGGCCCGGTGGCGCACTGGATGGTGCGCCGCTTGGGAAGTGCGGCGGCACTCCCGTCCAAGGGTTCGGATCCCACATACAGACCGGCTCCCGCTCACTGGCTGAGCGAGGCGCGGGAGCAACACCGAGGCTTGCGATCCCGTTGCCGGTCCCCGGTCCGGTACGGGGGCAACACTGAGGGTTGCGATCCGTTGCCGGACACGGAAAAAAGACAAAAAAAAAAAAAAAAAAAAAAAAA